CGTGGGATTTTACCAAAAGCTATGAACCACTTCCACAAACATCTGTGATAGATGAGTTTTGTGTTTTGTTCCCCACAACTGTATTCTCTTTGTCATTGGTACCTGCGTTTCACAACTCGAACACATTAACCCATATCATTAGAACGTAATATGATCATTAGCTCTCGATTCAGTAGAACGAACCCAAAGAATACTATTAGATATTTTGTTTATTTTCAGTAGAACATACCCTCTTTGGCTTTCTTATGTGATTTTTTCCCAGTGTCTGTCGACAATGCATTGCTTCTCTTCATGCTTCCAAATCCACCTGAAAGCTTGTGTTTTTAGCAAGAACAAAACACTTTATGTTTATTGAATCTTATGTACTTGGGAGAATAAAGATTGAAGGAACTAACTATGTTATAGTAGATCGAAGAAATCGAGTGCAGAAGCCGACGTCTGTTTTCAAAATATAATGGAGAACTAACCTAATTCATTACGTTATAGCCAGTTTACAAATATGTAAAATCCTTAAAGATTGATAATATTTCCTTATTATAGTGTTGGCAAGAAAATAAAAATTATTTTTTTTGGAAACACTTTATGACAATATAATCCTTAGTATCTTCTTTTACATTGTTTGCACTTCCAATTCTGATTTTCTTACAATCTCCTTTTTTTACTCTGGATGGATTTTGTTGCCAAAATTAATAATAGAGAAATAACCTACTTCATTACGTGATAGCCACTCAAAATATATGTATAAATCTTTTAATTCTTTATAATATTTGCGTATCAGACTGTTGCCTTATTCTACAATTTATTACTTGCGCAAGTGTTAAACATGTACTATATTGGAAAAAAGCTCTATGATAAGCCAAATACTTTAAAATGTTACAAATTTGAATTGTATCATTTTTCTTGGAAATTTAATAAGTTGTTACATAATAAATGATTTAAATAATGGGTAAACAATAATGGATCAAATGAGATGAAAACATAAACGAAACAAATGAGGGGATTATTTGATGCTAATAAGTATAAAACTAAAAACAGGGACACTAAGATAATAAATAAAAATTAAACAAAACATGCACAAATCAAATACTGAGATTCATCGCCTTTGACATGCAACATGGACTTCAACTTTCTCCATTTCTTTTGGAGTAGTAAGCAGTTCATATAAATTCCTCTTCCGAGTCATAATCATTAAAAATCACAACATGTGGCTGCACAAAATATTGCAGTTGGTTAGAATATATATTGCGTATTTTAAAGATGAGTTCACATATAAGTTATATCTTACATGTGGATGAAAGTGTTGAACTATTTCTGCATTGTCAACCACTAAATCAACAACATATGTTGAATCTTGATGTTTCAGACCATAAGAACCGATAGTGATCCAAAATAAAACTTTCCTCCCAATTAAATCTG